TTACCACTTTCCACGAAAGCGATGGAAGAAAGATATGATGCTCAGCGAATTCCTAGAGCAAGGAGGTCCCACTGGGCTACTCTTGCACGCGATAGGGAAAAATGGAAGAGTTGCTGGTACCCGCTCGAGTCACTCGACGATCAACGGGACGACAGGTGATACAGGTGATACCACTTTGTTGTAATTGTTTGGAAATGTAGACAAGTGACTCTATCGACTGATTCCTTTAGAATAAGACGAAAAACTTGTTATAATTTTATCTCTGTACACGTTTTCAATTACAGCTCATCATTGCTCCAGCTGTGCAGATCTGAGCACTTCTTAAACTCTATTCGTTTTCTCGCATCCGTCATTTGTGGAGGTCTCCGAATAACCCGTGTCTAAATTCGCCCGTTTTAAGAATATTTTTGGCTCTCCTAATGCCTTTGAATGATGCCAGTCAATTGAATTGGCCGAAGTAAAATCTTCTCAACTGTATCACACAAAATACGCTACTCCCAGACAGATCTGATGTTTTCTACTGCAAGGTAATGCTGGGCTTAGAGAGCCGGAAACGGGATCAAACTACTGGTAGATACAAATTGATCCATCTCATCGACTGTTTTCAAACCTGTTGTGGACATTTAATACAGTCTCCGGAAGACGTGTACGGCTCTGACTTAACAACCTCGGCAAGACCATAAACATTCTAATAGGGTATACTAAATATTTATAGCGAGCTCTAAAAACAGTCGATGAGATGAATTAATTTATATCTACCAGCCGTAATCCATTGGACGAAAAAGTGGTGAAAACACAATGTCATTGTACGTTGTGCTACCACCATATAGGTCTTCCCTTCGTGCTTCAAAGTAGAGGTTTGGGGGACAGTACAAAAACATCGACTAAGAATAAAACAAACGTTATCTACTAGCTGGAATTATGCTTCCTTTCATGACGATGTGGTTTCCACGTCGAAACATAAGAAATTTTTTAATTTATGGACATTTTTTTCACGGAAATTATCTTTCTAGAATCCTTTTTAATGATATATCTTTTTAATGATATTTCATCATTTCTTGATAGTCCTTATAGTTCTTATATAGTAGATTAATAAAATATTCCTATGAATGATATTTCATCATCCCATGATAGTCATGTCTCTTGCAACCTCACTTTACCCTAATAGTTTCCCTTACTTCCAATGCTGTGTGCTCCATACAAATCTTTAGAGAGCGGCGACGTCGCAATTACAATATGTGAATGAGATTTGACGTCGCGCGGTGAACATTAAAAAGATGCTTATGGTCTTCAAAAGGATAATTTACGAAACTCATTGTCCTACGGTCTTTATAACAACCTTCTCACGTTATAACCATATAGTCAATATTGTTGAGTGATTTGCAGAGCTCTAAACGTCAGAATGAGTTAAAACTTGCGCATTTAATGTATCAGAACTGTTAGCAAGTAGCCGTCAACGGGTTTCGTTCTACTCTCGCCTCAAGTCTAGAGTATTGTTTTTACTACTAAACATTTTTGGATGGGTGCGCAAGAAGTTCTCATAATTCTGTATTTTCTTAATTTCACCATTGATATAATGATTTTTCATCAATGGTAATAATTTTATTGAATTCTTTGCTCAATTTTGGTTTAGAACCTGTTTTCTTTATTTGTCTGTTTCCAGTTGCGTTCAAGTTATGGATCGCAGAAATCAGCGTATCGCAATAGTTGAGTTGCACAAGACAAGAAAGAAAACGGCCGACATTCTTAGAATCGTCTGGTTTCCAAACCAGTAAGTGTCAACAGAGCCATGAAACATTTCAACGAGACTGATGGGGTGAAAACCATCCTCGTAGAGGCTGTTCGATCTCCTGATGTATTCCGAAAAACATTCAGAAAATTCAGTGGCCAGGTTCAGCAGACTCCGGAGCCTTCAATACGCAATATGTCTCGGGAAACTCGGGATCACCGAGTGAAACGCCCGAAACGTTGTCAAAAGTAAGCTGAATCAGTGCAGTTACAAGATTGCTGGACACATTCTCTGCACGAAAAGATGAAAGGAGAATAGTATCTGAAGGGTCGGCTAAAGATTCGTTTGATCGTTGGTGCTCGTTTTTAGTTGGCGTTTTCGCGGATGAAAAGATATTCACGGTTGAACCACTTCACAATCGCCGAATCGACGTCATCTTCTCAAGGAGGGTCAGCAGAAACCTGCCGCAGCAAAAATCACGTGCCGCAGTTATTTCTAACTTTTATGATGGTCTGGATCGACGTTTGTGCCACCGGTAGAACACCGTTGGTCTTCATCAACGGAAATCAACAGTGGCAACTACGAGCAGCAGGTTTTGCGAGTTATACTGGAGCCTTGAATTACTTAACGCTTTCACGCCAACGGATCTACGTTGTAGCAGGATTAGGCTCTTGCGCATTCAAACCGCTCAACTATTGCCACTGTCAAGAATTATATCCAGGCCCATGTGGGGTAAGGACATTTGGCTGTTAAAAACTCCGGATCTCAACCCAGTGGATTGCTCCGTGGTCCATAGTGAAGGAAGAAGTCTAGGCTATTTACTACCATGCCGTAGATGCTCTCAAAAGGGCTTTGATACGGAGTTGCCACGAAATTACGCTGGAAACGTGTGCGATCATTGCTAGAAATTTCCACAAGAGACTTCTTGAATGTATAGCGGCCAGAGAAGGCAAATTTGAAAATTTGTGATAAGCTTCTGCGTTCTTTGTTATAAATACTGATCTAGAACGTAGTCAATCTTTCAGTGAATGGGGTGAGTGACTGAAAAAGGCTCCGATAATGGCGTTATGTAGCTACGAACGAATGTAGCATAACAAAGCCTTCAAAGCGCGGCTAAAAACATTGAAAAGACAATATATGAATGTTTTTGTCGAGGTTTTTGAGAGGCAGTCGATTAAAGAAAGTCCTATTTATGAGCGATTGTTTGAGAGCTTATGAATATCCCTTGAAAAGGTGGTTACGCAGTGATAATTGTGCGAACATCATCATCATCATCATGGACAATACTGCTTGGACCTTAGGCAAGTTGTACTAAGCTTCATATCCTTTGAGTGTCGAAAAGTTGGTACCATCATCTGTGTAAGCATTTCACTCCCTGCAGTCCAAGAGACAGTGCCTTGGCCCGACTATATTAGAACTCTAGAGTGAGTCTAGAAGGGATGTGAACGATAATGTATTAGGTTTCCTCAAAAGTTTTGCACTGCAGCCATAAACACTATATTCATCAACCAGAAGTTATTAAAATTGTATAATTTTGGTAATGTTCTATTGGGCATTCCTGAGAGCATATCTTGAGCTTTTTGTAAGGTCTGTTATAGCAGTTCTAGAGCTAGATGTACGTTTCGGTTATTCTAGCAAGCTTCATCACTAACATGTGCCTTTTGGTCTAGTCAGTCCCCTGCGAAGAAAAGTACCCCTACATATAAGCGAATTAGATCACATATTTTGAGCTTCCATGATGTCTTTTATGGCGCTTATATAGTGCAATACACGTGTTCCAGCCTTAGAGTTTCACCCAAATAATTTTCCTAACACCGGTAGCGATTGATAAGTGGAGCGTTGTAATAACCCTTTTGCACAATGAGAGAAACGAATTGATGCATCTGCATGGCCACATGTGGTGCATTAATTTTAATGATTGAGAAACACTCTCAGGAGGGCTCCTTCTCAGTTGCACGTGTAAGGATGCAGTCCTTCTTTTTTGGTAATCTATCTGGATCTAGAGAACAATAGCGAACTGCACACTAGGCATGAAGCGCTAAGACGTTCAAAAGTCGATGGATATAACAGAAATCCATTCACACTTCAATTTTCCGCTCCAGTCCAGCGGACCCCAGGTGATTGAAGGCCGCAACAAGGAGAAGCTGTTTGTGGAAAGGAAAATCAAAAAGCGGCTCCACTTGCTGCTCCTTTTCCACTTAGCCCCTTAGACGTGTTCTATAAGCAAAGAGGATATATGTCAAGGCTGCCTATGGAAAAGTTTGCTAATATATTTCAAGGTAAGAATTTTTTTGTGATAATCAAATATCGAAAGTGTACTTACGTCGTTAATTTGCCATTTTCTTAGGCATAAGGGAAGAATTACAGATACAACATGGAGATGGCAAGGGAAGTGTCACATTTTAGTGAGTTATCACCTTATCATAGAAAAAATGTTTTTTAAGATTCGAATTCTTGCGCTCAGGTAGACACATTTTTGCAACCCCTCATCGCGCCACACCGCTCGTGTTGCTCACTTTCTCTAGCCTTTGTAGAACCGCACAATACGTAAATTCACCACCGATCACCGCGCTACGTGCCGAGCAGCGGCAGGCGGTTGCTATTGATGCGCGTAGCAATAGAGATGCAGGAATTCAGTGGTAAATCTAGATCTCAAGAGAATTTCATTACTACTAAGTGATGAAATGCTCCAAAGAGATCCTATGAAGGTTTTTTTTAGTATAAAGGACGCTATGTGTTATAAAATCTCCTGTGCTTCAGCGAGAAAATTCACATCCTTTCGAGAAGGAACATATTTCTAGATGTTATGTAGGACTTGTTTCACCTTTCTAATCTGTGTTTTTGTAGTCATCCAACAGCCTGAAAAGTAATGATATTACACCGAGTTACTTTCTGAAAAGAGCTTTCTAATACGATCTACTACCACTCTAGAAGAAAGAGCCGCCCTTGAACACTTGACTATCAACTCTCATCTTTCGAGCCATCTTTTGAGCCACTACCAAAGAGTTAGCATATGTAATGCATGCGTCATAGGCTTAGCCACCGACGTCTTCATCGTCAGCAAAGCCCAGAAAGCATTCAAAATGCATTCTCTATTTTTTATCTACAGGTGAAACAAAATGTGATTCCTTTCGATATCTCCACCCCGCTCCAGTCCCCTAAGGAAAAGGTGTTTATATAATTTCAAGATTTCTTATGATTTTATTGCCGTTTCGTAATGTCATGATGTTTCAGATACTCCCCAAAAGAACTGAGTAATAAGCAGAAACTCAACCTCGGACAGGAGTTAAACCCTCATTTCATCCACACCGGGGACTCGTGTTACCACTACACCACCGAAGCCACCGCTTGCTTACCACTCATTCTTAAATACCTTTCTATCGTATATAAATATGAGTAAGCATAAAAGTTTGATAAAAACTCGAAATATGACCTTTTGTAAACATATGGGTTTTTTTTTACTTAAAAATACAGCACTCTAGAGAAAGCATTGGCGTTGTTTCCAGGTTCCATGAGTGTGAGTGGATGTAAATGATGTTATTGGTTACTATGCAACAGAACAAATTTCTTGTTCAGGCCCTTAAAGGCTTGTAACTCCTGAAATGCATTAATAATAAAACGCTACTCGAAATATCGAGGAAATGGCATCTCATTGCAATGTGCAGTATAATTTCTGACAAAAGTTCATTTCCTTTTAATTGTTCTAGCATGTTTCAGCCAAAATCAAAAGGATGAAGCTCCCGGCGTTGATCAATCCCTGAAGGATCCGCCATGCATTCGTCTTCAATTTTTAACTTCGCTTGAGGTCATTCAATGTATACGTGGGCTTATACAATGACTCGCGATGGTCACCCGCTGTACCGAGTCAGTGCTGCTTATCCTCCCAGACAAGTCTGAAACCTATCTGGTATCAATTTACCGACCCCGAAGGGACAGATGGTTTGGTGAGACATGAGAGCGAGATCAAACCACTGACGTGGTGTGCGACGAAGAGCACCTGTAGCCACTGCGCCACATGCGTTAGCCAAAATTAGCTTTTTTAAATTTCCTCCCTCATACTGTACCGTCTAATAATAATGAAACTCCTTTATAGTAGAGATAAAGACCTAAATTTCATTAGAAAACTGCTGTAATGTCATTGTAACGCACCGCCCTCTTCACTTAATCACTCTTTCTGCTGCGCTAGAAATTAGCGCGATTCTCAACGGGTTAGTGGCAGCTGTCTAATTGAATGAATGCATGAAATGTTATATTTCACATATTAGGCCTACAAAAAAACTCTTTATTGGCCATTGTAATCATTAGATCTATGTTGAAAGCTATCAAATGGATTAATAGGAAGAAGTAAGAACCCCTGTGTAACAAAATAAATGACAGAAACAAATATTTTAGGAGCAGTGCTCTCCTCTTAATTCAATAATCAGATTGGCTACGATGTAATAATCACCTTTCAAATTGTTACATTATCTCGAAATGTTGCTCTACTATTCACAATCGTCCATGAATTGTTGCGATTCTCGGAGAACCTGAGCTAACAAAGTAGCGAACTCTGTTACGACCTCTACGTTCGGTAGACAGTTTAGTAACAATTGACAACCAAATCGCGCACTGGTTAGAGGTATCCTCAATACACTTCTGCTGCTTGGTTCGATTCAATGCACTTGGCTGGACTAGTCCTTCATTAATCCAGCGTCAGCAGACTGATACCATACTTGCTTGTTTACACTTGCCATACACTGACTTGATACAGCGGTAGGCCACTGAAGTTACCATGCCGATCAGATATGCTTTCATTCGCTATTAAATATGCTTTATGAAGTTGACATTTTTCGCAGATCAAGCCCAAAGATCTATCTCATTGCCTTTTTTCATGGCCATTTTGAGATTTGAATAAAAATCATTTTGACAAGCACTCAGTCCTCTGTGAGAAGCTAACATAAGAGGTACTCAGATTACAATAACGTATTGAGAAATCGGCCACTACAGTGAATGACGTTACAAAGACAGAAAAAAGAATTGAATAGTTAAATTTTGCACGACAATTGAAGATGGATCGTTTAAGTATTTTAACAAGTTAAGTGAGCATTGCGCTAACTTACCGTCCACAACTTTGAGTGATACAAAAGCATGCTGAAGTAGAAGAGACTCTGATTTGGGCACTAGATTCTTAACATGTTGTTCGTCGCAAATTCTTCATCCATGGTGAGGTGCGATGGAAAACGCGATTGCAAAAATGATGAGATACGAGCAAAGCCTGAGATCTGATCCATGTATAAGGCTGGAATCACGATTAACATTCGTGTGGCATACGCTTTTTTCCTACAAAATCGGGGCCTTATCTCCGTCTTGCTCTCAGCTATGTCTATTAGTTTCGTTTGATATTAGCAATCATCCATCAACGGCACTGATCTGAAAGACGCAAGTCGACAGAACGCAGTTAAGTTTAGGCTATAGTCTTCATAATTTTATCTTTTCATTCACTGTCTATGTCTTTTTGGTATAGGATCCGATATAAAATAGTACTACAGTTGCGTTACAAAACACGACTTGTGATTCCGACGTTAGCCCTAGTTTAACTGAGATCAGTGCCATTTTATGCGCTCCATATCAGTCACGTTGACCGGTGATTGCTGAAACGATCTCTACGCACGAACATTGCTATGAAAAAAAAAAACAAGATGGCGGCTTTGATGGTGTAGTGCGAAGACGTCTGACTTCGACAAGGTGTATTCATGGTATGAGTCCATGAACATACATCAGAATCCACATTTTGCCTTTCTTCAGCATTCTTGTAGATGTAATCACTGAGTGCTTATCTCCGACAATAGCAGCTAATCCATTTTTCCTTATTACGTTGTTCCACCTGATACATTGAGTCTACGTGCCGCCTTTCGTATTCATGTGTTTGCGGTGGTGGTCTCCCTGTAATAATTCTTGTGAGAATTAACGACTTGCTGACGCGTTTTCAAACAGTCAAAATGCTTCCAGCTGTTATTCTGCACCAAAAGTTGAAAACCGTTTCTTTAATCCACGTTCTTTCGCCATTTACCTGAATAATAGAAGACCTTCCTTGCCTTGAATATTTTGGTACTTAGAAATGAATTATTCAACAACTTTTACTTGTACTGTTCCGTTTTTTCCCGTTTACTGTCGTATTACCCCAGGCGGTGCCAGCCAAATGATCGTCCTATAAGTGCACTAAGCTTTCAGCCGCTTCTGCATACTTGAAGGTTACAAATAGCGTTATTTTCCTTTGTGCAGGAATTTTATGAAGTGATACCAAGTGAGAGGAATTGCTGTGGGCCTGACAATAGTGGAATCCAACACTAACGGCTCTTAGTAGTTTGCACTCAGATGATAAAGTCTATTAACCTTCTTATTTTCAATATCTCCAGCAATACACACACACACACACACACACACACACACACACACCACACACACACACCACACACAGCACACACACACACACACACACACACACACACAGTTTTTGTTACGTGTCCTTTGACCTAGACTGATCTCTATATTCCATCTTCCATGTTCATTTGATGGTGATAGGTCAATCTTTCGATAGTCCCAGTCGCGCTTTTGTCCTAATTGCCTATCAGCCAGGTTTTTATATTATATTACACCAGTACTGTGTAATAAAACAGCTGGGTGCAGATTGGGGCCGACTAAATTTTCAAACCTTTGTGGCGCATGTTGTGCACCTTGTTTTAAAAAGTTATGGTATAATGGAATTACTTCCTTCCGAAAGAGCTATGCCACACAACAAAATTGGCTTGTTTGGTGAGATTTTTGAATTTTTAAAATTGTTTACTGCTTAATTCTTATTTTGCAGTGAGGTATGCTGTAAATTGTGACCACAAAATGCTGAGTAACAAAAAAAATTGAATTTTGAAGTGGTTTCTAGTCCACGACAGTTCTTTCCGAGGGGCCTCGTTATTGTAATTGATAGACCATCGGGTCTCTTGAACCAAGCTTGAGAGAAAGGCAGTACCACTGCATCCATGGAATGTCGAGTAACCTAGTGGCCTTCAGGGAAGGTAGTCGAGTGTCTAGAGCGACCTCAGGTTCCATGTTTTTGCTCGTATATTGGTGCTCTTGTGGTTACGTTTTTCAGTTGTTTAAAAGTTGCTCTACCATATGAGTCCACCTGAGTTCAAGAATCATTAGTGGACGACTCTATCTCAGTTCATCATTTAACTCGTATGTTTACCAATAGATTCATGTTTGTTTCGTTTATGCTCAAAACCAACTCGACAAAGAGCGTAGGAGCACTTCAACCTCCTACGGTGTGCTAAGCAAGGTTATCGTATTAATTGAATCTCCAAACAGACTAATAGTTGCTTGGATGATCCATCTACGTAAAACACGAAAAAAGGCTTGGGGTCGAGCACAGTTTCTTGTAAATTCTAGCCTGGTAATTTGTTCGTTAGGCAAAATTTCAGCTCCTTGATATCTCGGAAGCTCGAGTTATGGTCGCCAGCACGGACCGACTTGTTACAATGTTGTCCCCAGATAGGAATACGGCAATCCTCGTGGGGTTCCGGCTTTACCGAATAGACAACAATTTTTGTGCATCGTTCTTCGACACTGTGGAACATTCCTGATCAAGACAATGAACTTCACCCTTAGGCTTCTAACCACAAGGTTTTTTTCAAACATAAACTGAAGTTGTTCTCACTCTTCTGTCATCTGCACACCTATGAGGTAGTATAGTCTGGCATATCCTTGGTAAAGTGACATCTGTTACTTATCAATTAGATAGGCCAACTGAATGTCAAAGAAACATACATCGACTCGCTTTTCTCGTGTTTACTGTCTTCAAGTTACAACTACGTTTCACTTGAACATGTTGAAGAGATGTCTTGCTTATGCTGGGGACATGTGACGACGGAAATGACATCCACCGCAGAGATATTTCGCAGTTTCAATGACTATGATGCGCTCCGTACGTGCTCACTGAGAGGATTATCTTGAGTACCACAGCTACGTGTTTACCAAAATCAGCAAGTCAGTATTGCTCTTTTTTTGCAACCAAGCTGGAGATAACGGTTTTGTTAGTATATGGGCTTGAACGCATGTTTAGGCCATCGCACATAACACCTGAAACACCTGCCCCTCACATTTCTATCACTCCTCAGTTCATACTGAATTGATATAGTCCTTGAGAGCTGCGCGCTATATGATCGTAGTGCTGTTGATTTTATTGAATGTTGTATTGAAACAGTAGTGAGGGCAAATAAGAAAGTGAGTCGCCACTTCCAACATATGTCTATAAAAAACGAATGTGTTGGTAGATGATTGTTATTGATGAAAGCCAGTTGTACTGAACA